TTGTAATTATTTTAATTATTTTTATTTCCAAACTGATTTTAACCAGTTCTATAGTAAGGTAACATTCCAATAGACAATATGCAAAGCTTTTTTTTCAGTTTACAGCAGTATTTATTACACAAAATTTAAGTAAAGCTTAACATGCCGATCTTGCCCCGATCTCCCCTATATATATATATGCTCTATTCTTTTCTACAAACATGTATCAAATTAAATATATAATTAATTGGAAGCGTTAAATTGCTCTAGTGCGATGTTTTACAGTTAATATTTTTATCTGAAGTCACCCACCACTAAGGCCTCAAAGATCCATTGTGTCAGGGTTAACCAGAAGTGGAGAGGCAGGATCAAGGTATTTTGCCCTCTGCCCCTCTGACGATTCACCTAGTAGTTGCAGTCTATCAACAGATGGAAGGACCTCCACAATGTAAAAATTCGAAGTTGAAGGTTGAGTAATCAATTGAAAATGAGGCAGACATTTCGTCTTTAGTTAAAATTTTGGTAAGAGTTAGGACTCAGACAATCGTCTCCATGACCTCTCTCTCGATGGTCATGAATACGTTATTCTAATAGACATTTTTCAATGCATAAAATAACAATTATGAATAAATGTACAGTGTTTTCCTGCCTATAATTTACGATAGCGTATAATTCCACAAAAAGTTGCGAAAAAAACTCGCATAATTAATTTAATCTTTACTTCGCTTCCATGGGAGCATACAATGTTAAATAGGCACCAGTATATAATTGCAATTAAAAACGGCACATAACCAGCCATATTGCATAACCTATTTCAAATTGTCTTTTTAATTAACATAGAAAATTCGCAAGTAATCTGTAGGAAAATACGTCACATAAATATATTTAGAATTTATAAAAGCAAATAAAATTAAAAACTACAGCAAAATTCATACGTAATTCTAATATTTAATCTTTTTAAGTTTATTTGTATTAATACATTTTCTAAAGACACGAGTGAAGAATTTAGATTTTAAAAGATCATATTGAAAAATCTTTACCATGATGTATTTCTGAATCGGTCCACCTGGTAAAACACCACACACGTATTCTCCATTTTTAACTGTTAAGGCTAATTCCTGTACAGTTCTGGGTACCAAATCAATAATTGGAGATGTCATGAATGATGTTAATTTGCTATTATAACAGGAAAGTATGACCACAACAGAAAGCAGCCATATTCCAATCATTATTCTTGCAGCAAGTCGTTTTACATTGTTTAAATTACCTCCTAAATTATATTAAAAAGAAAAAATTCTCACCTGTTCCACAACAAACATCTAAGACTGTAGAATTCTCACTAAAATCGCCCAATTCAATTATAGTGTTAAATAAAACTTTAGCTGCTGCCGTGTTTACTTGGAAGAATGATTCTGGAGATATTCTGAATTTCAGATTATCAACATTTTCTACAATGTAAGGTTCTCCATATATAAGTTCAAATGGAGCTTGTTCATGAGTACACCTTGTATGAGGACTGTAAAATAAATTTTAATATATAAAAATATAATATATGATATTTCAATAATATAAAATCTCAGCATTAGTAGTATAATAAATTTCTAAATAAAATAAATTTATGGTAATTACTATTAATTGATAACTGATTAATTATATAAGATCTTCCAAAAAGAATGTTACCATTTAAAATTTTTGAAATCGTGTTAATTATTATCTGAGAATGTAATATACATTAAAACATTGGAAATCTGACTAAGTTTCCCATTTGGTCATTATAATTTCTCAATATGTTCACCATGTGTCACACAGCACATATCCAACTGATACTAAAATTCTTTTCACACTTGCTTTAGCATATCCATTGTCACTCCTCCCACAGCAGCCACAATTCTACAGCTCATGCAATTACTTGTATTGCACAATGACAAGTGATTCTGACTTTGCAAACTGCAAAATATAAAATGCTTTCTCTGTTGTGAAGTTGCCATTTTCATTTATGGTGCTTCCTAGAAGCAGTAGACAAAAAAGACATTTCAATGCCGATGGGAGATAAAACTTGAACAGTTATTCTATCAATTTGTGATTTTCACATACATCTTGATTAATAATTAATATAATTACAATAACTTAAAATTGCAGCATTCATTTTGGAAGGCTATGTATAATGATAATATTTCATATTAAGCAATATACATATATAAATTATGGTGATCCAAATAAATTGCAAAAGCTTTTCCTAAAATATTACTTTAAAATATCAACATGCATCAGTACTATACCAGTGCAAATTGAAAATTGTCTTAATAAATGATAATTAATCATTAAGGTGTTTTTTAAATATGAAGTATTTTAAACAAGCAATTATTTATTGTGACATGGTCACAATGCCAGGCTGCAATTTTTAATGTATTTTATTTAAAATATATGCTCTCCACCACAAATTAGCAGTGGCTTGCCCCTGTACATCATACTTTTCCTTCAGCAAGTTGTGCCAGTCATCTATTAACTGCTTTCAAAAGAAAAGTTTAAAATTGAAGTAACACGACTTCTAGTTTGCATTGAAAGTTCGTTTATTGTTAATACGGGTCTCCCGCCCCAAGGTTTCCATGTCTGGTCTGATTTAATCTCTTTAGAGATTAAGGAAAGACAAACAGATGGACAACAGTGGGAATTTATAGGTCTACAATTTTTTCAAATTGCAGCCCAACAACTGGATAATGTATATTCTGGCTTCTTTATAATTTCAAATAATTATATGAATATCTTTTACATGAAAACTCAATCATCATTAAGTAATTATGAACATGACTAATAATGATTTTAATTTTAGAAAAATTTCAGAAGCAATTATTTTGGATCATTCTGTATTATCTTATTGTAATCTTAACAAACCTCACCAAGCCTGGAAATATAATGATTTTAAATTACATTCTTTTCCTTCCCCAATGGTAAAATAAGTTCTTAATTTATTTTTTTCATTTTCTAATTCTTCCTATAGAAGAAAGATGATGTTATGTTCAAACAAATTTAAAATAATAATAAAAAATAATTCAAATTAGACACAAACCAATGACAAATTTTGTGGGTGCATGACAATAATTGCCATTAAATCGTCATGAATATTTGAACGGACGACAAGATTCTTCCAATGACCACTTTTAAGATCTATGCAGGCATCCAATGCAGAATCATTTATGTAATTTTGAAGATGCTGTAAATTAGTTTGAATTTTTTAAGCAATAAAGTTTAGTTTTTCTATTTACAATTAAATACATTAATTTTTCAAACCTGAACTACTTTCTTGTGAGACTGTTTTATGTTATTTAAATAATCTGGACCAACACAAACAACGTTTTTATATTCTGTAATTTACAATTAAATTATAATTGTATATATTAATAAATTATGAATTAAATATAAAATTTTACATTTGATTATATAAGTTAATGTTTAAAAATTGATTTACTTAGTTATCATACATGTAGATGAAACAATAAAATAAAAATAAAAGTGTCTTCATCTTTTGTTCTTTCACACCTTTGGCATTCAGCAATAACATAGAGGTGGACAAAGAGTCTCAGTAAAAAAAGATGATTATTCCAAAGCTTTCATTAACTACTGAAGAGTGAAGACACTTATTTTTAATTTAGTGTTTCTTGTACAAGTGTGATAATTAACTGCCATCCTGATAATTAAGTAAATATTTGTTATTTATTTAGTTTTTAACATAATACTTTAAAGAACTATTTACAATTCTAAACAGTTTAAATTTTTCTATATTTATAAATTATAAACTTCTATATATGTTAATTTATATATTTATTATTTGAAGCAATAAATAAAATAAAAATAATTACAATAAAAAAGCAACTTTTTATTTATTATTATGAATGTTTTCCATACAATACAACTTAATCAGAACTACAATCAAATTTTTGCATCAAAATGACAATGATGCATCTTATCTATACAATCAAGAATATGATAGAGTGGCAGCCATAAGTGGGAAAATGCATAGGGCTAAGTCTACATTCAAACAGAACACCCTTAGCTGTTTATATTCATTGTCCTTGTCACAGCCTTAATCTTGCTATAAAATTCAGCCAGTAACATTCAACTATTCAAAATTGCTTGAAAACTATTAAATCTAATATAACTTTTTCAATTCTTTTAAATGACAGGCTATTCTGCAAGAAACCATAGCTGAATCACTTACTATTTTATTACCAAGAAAAAAGCACTCAAAATTAAAAAAACCATGTAGACTGAATGCCACAAATCTGTGTCAAGACATTGCAAGCTTCACGAAAACTAGACAGAAGACTGAGAAAATCTTCTCAGTTGTAAAATACAAAAGCTGATGTTTTCCAACTAATAAATACCATTAAACTTTCAAATTTGAAATTTGTTGCCAAATCTTTCTTTCTAGCAGGACATGCCAGAATGATTTGGTAGCATAACACTTGTGTGTGTGTGTGTTTCTTTTAGCAAGAGGATCTGGCTGAAGTTGTGCTACTTGCAAAAAATTCCATAAAAAGGAACTGAAAAAAACAGGTGGGAGTTAGCCAACAAAATGTTTTTCAATATATTTGAGAAAGCAAATTTTTTAATGGAAGATCACAATGCTCTCAATGTTCTAAAATTAAGTAAGAAGCAGTAATACCAAACCAACATTGAAGTTGAATTGCCAGAAATACATTACCATATGACTCCATTTCTAGTGTTTATACCATTTCTAGATGTATTTAACAATCATATTGAATCTAGATTTATTATGCATGGTGAAATTCTTAACAATTTTGACTCTGTTACCTCAAAGGCTCAAACTTTAATGAAGCCAATTGTCAAGTCCTGAACAAAACTTATGTCCTTGAATGCATCAATAAAGATGAATTCATAGCAGAAGTAACAATATGACAAAGAAGAATCAGAGATTGTAATGAAAAGAGAGGACTCTTCACTTATCACACATTACACCTTTAAAGAAATTAGTCTTTTAATATCAATAAAATGTTTTTTCAGATAACCAATATCTCATCATAAAATTTAAATTATCAGATCAGATGTTAAACACTAACTTCCTTAAGAGTATAGCATATAACAAATGAAGTTCAAAATAAAGAGCTGCTTAAAAAATGACGACCTCATCTTCGAAACAGTGAACATTTATGAAGGAAGTGAAGTATTCCTTAGTGTAAGGAAACTTTTGAAAATTCAAACCATTTTGCCTGTTATCACAATAGCAACAGAAAGATTGTTCTCAAACCTATGCAACTAAAAACAAATCTTAGAAATTCCAAGTCAAAGAATAACTGAATAGCACTTTTTTTTTGTTAAACATCCACAGAAATATTAATCTTTAGTGAGGAGGGTATGAATAAATTTTACAAATCAAAGAGAAAAATGTTACTATATTAATAAATAGCATTTTGTTTCTTCATTAGTTTCTCCTTAGTCTACATATCCGTATTGTAAAAATTAACAAATTAAGGCCTACATTAATTTTTATAACATATCTTCTTAAGAAAAATAACCATGAGCTGAAATATAATTTTAAAATTTTATTTTATTTTTTTTTTGGGAGAAAATAATAATAATAATAAAATGCATTTCAATCTGCAATGGAATATTATTTTATTATTCACCATAATCAAATAAACTGATAACTCTATAAAAATTTTTGTGAAAAACTAAAAGATTTTTATAGATTCTTTCAAAGATATATACAGAAATAAAGATATGTATCTTTAAACTTTAAAAAAATTTGCTTGTAGAAGAATATAACATGTATTTTGTAATTGTTGTTCTAACTGTTGTAATCTAGATTGCACAGTATCAAGATTATCTCTCTCTTCAATACTAATTTCTTCATGTAACCTTTGTTCTAAATTTTTTTTCTACTGCATAACACTTTCATGTTCCATTTTAGCTTTGTCCAATTCTTTTTGAACTTCTAAAAGTGTTTCTTCAGCCCTTTGTAAACTCTCCATATCTGTCATCATTTCACACGTGTGTTTGAGCATAAATATGTTCAAACACAAATGCTGCACATAAACAAACCAGCATCCTCCAATATCAATGACCAAAGAAAAAAAAAAGAATAACATCTTTCACATAATTGTGCTGTCTTGATGGTCCAAAAAACAATATCCATTGCTTTCAAAGCAATTTTATGTTTATGAATGGAATCTTTAATACTGAAACAGAATTTAAAAAATGCATATTTGTTGGTAAAGTTGTTCCAGTAACAGCATTTTCTTGAAAATTTTTTACATATTGTAGCAATTCAACTGATGACACCAACCACTCAATTGTCTCCTCTATTGTCCAATGATGAACTTCTGATGTAGTCCAAAACTGCCACAATTCATCGACACTAATATATTTATCATTACGATCTATCATAATGATAAATATATTAGTCTATCGTATCCATTTTCACATTGAAGTTTGTATCTTAAAAATTTGTAACTTTCAGCAATGTCTATATTTCCATTAGCATCATCATCCAATTGTTGATGAAGCGTGACGATGGCATCATAACCCATTTTGTCAGAACAGACATTTATGGCTTTGCAATCCCATTTCTCTTCTTCATCATTGACATTTTCAATGCATATGCTTAAAGTTGATATTCTTTTGGAAACTTAGACATTACTATCAGGACTAAATGTAGACGATTTAATGCTCGATTCTAAAGCCTTGGCACAGTTTATATAAGTACAATGATCACAGTCAATTGTTAAAAGACATATAACTATAATGATCCAGGCAAAACCCAACATACTGTATACACACAAAACAAACTTCTGTATGTTTAGTCCTGTAACATCTATCTATATAACATATATAAATACAAAAAGAACATTGCTCTATATCTTAATAATTAATCAGTCAGTGCAATTATATATATATATAAAACAGGGGATTGGGCAAACAAGAGTTCAGTCGGAGCCGAAATGTAGGTTATGCAAAATGGATGGGAGCCGCAGTTCTGTACTTTTTTTATTCTGTACTGAAGTTCTGTACCGCGATTTTATTATATAATATAAATATTATATAAAACAAATATTAAATTTTTTTAATAAACATATTTTCACAAAATTGTGGAAATAAAATTGTAAAAATAATAATAAAAAGCAGAAATTAACACTTTCAGCAAGAGCTGCATGTAACTCAAAAAGAGCTGCATTTGCCCATGTCTGATATATAAAGTTAATTAAAATTTATATCAAATATATATTTTTAAAAATTAATAAAAGAGAAAATAGATCTTAAAAGATTATTACTTTTCAAAGTTTTTGCAATATATATTATTATATGGTAAAAGATTAAAGAATGCACGGTAACAAATTTTTATACTAATCATTTCATTAAAATGAAAAGATAATTAATCAGTTCATATAATGTTATATTAAAATCTTTACATTAAATATTTTTATTACAAAAAATAAACGTTTGTGTATCACAAATAAAGATTTAAAAGAAATTTACCAGCAGGACTTCCAATAAAAAATCCAATTGTTTTCATATTACCATCTGGACTAGGTCGTATGCTAAATTCATCTTTATTTCTGTAATTATCAACAACAGGCTAAAAAAGAAAAAGGTTATCACTTATGGAATAAATTTACAAATATATCATTGTTTCAGTTATAAATATAAAGTATGCTATTGGGTTGTTTGAAAGAAATTATTTTTTTTTTACCTCCATAGGGATTAATTGTATTTTTACCTACCAACTTCATTTTAAACCATATTGTCATTATATATCAATATTTTGACAGCTGACATTTCAAGTTTTATTTGTAAAAACTGTCTTTTTTGATGTCTCATCAAATATGGAAGATCAAAAACAGTATTTTCAGCATATTTTGCTTTTTTATTACCAAAAAATAAAAATGCTGTTCAAGCAAGAAAAAAATTGTGTGATGTGTATAGAGATGTGTTGACAGAACATCAGTGTTAAAACTGGTTGGAAAAATTTCATTCTGGCAATTTCGATATTGAAGATGTACTACATTCTGGAAGGCCAGTTGAAGCCAGTGAAGACGAAATAAAGATATTGATTGAAGCAAACCACTGAATCATAACATGAGAAATTTCCAAGAGATTAAATTTGTCAAATTCAACTATTTATGATCAGTTGAAATGACTTGGTTTTGTTTCAAAGCTTGATATATGGAGGAGAGAGATTTGCTTGTTCTTAAGGAGAGAGATTTGCTCTGTTGCATTGACATCTGTGACTTGCTTCTTGAATGTCAAAAAAATTATCCATTTTTGAAACAAATCATAACTGGTGACGAAAAATGGAATGTTTATAACAATGTCAAACACAAGCGATCATGGAGTAGAAGAGACAAGCTGACTCAAAACATTTCAAAAACCAATATTCATCAAAAAAAGTGATGCTCTCTGTTTGGTGGGATTTAAGGAAATTGTTTTTTTCGAGCTTCTATCAGACAATTCCACAACTAATTCAAAAGTGTACTGCATCAATTGGACAAATTGAGTGATACCAGCAAACAGAAAAGGCCAGAATTGATCAACAGAAAAGATGCAGTGTTTCAACATGATAATACCAAACCTCACACAAGTTTGGTAACTCATCAGAAACTGTTACGGCTTGGATAAGATGTGTTATCCCACCCACTGTATTTGTCAGATCTGGCACCCTCAGATTATTACTTGTTCTGATCTTTACAAAATTTTTTAAACAGTAAAACATTTACTTCAAATGAGGATGTCTAAAATCACTCAGATCAGTTTTTTGTAAGCAAAGATCAAAACTTTTGTGACTGTGGAAATTGTGCTACTACCAGAAAGATGGAAACAGGTATTGGACCAAAATGGTCAATATATAATTCAATAAAATATTTACATATTATAAGAAATTTTTTTTTTCATGAAAAAAAGCAAAATTACTTTCCAAACAACCCAATAAATAATAAAATGCTAGTTTGATATTGAAAACTAAACACACACAGTTTTATTAAATGAACAACATTTTATCAAAAATTAATAATAACGTAAAGATACATGTAATAAGCAATTTTGCACGTAGGAAGTATTCAGTTTTAAAGTTAGAAATTACAGCAACAAGATAAACGTATGATTTTAAAAATTTTATTATTCAATTATTTAACGTAAATGTTGATATTTGAATAGTAATGTCAGTGTTAAATTTTTTTATATTATCTTGAGCTTTGTCTCATTCTTTATTGGTAGTTCAGTTGTGATATAATGAAGCATATACATGACATAAAATTAATAATTAAACAATTCTGTTAAGCTTAATACCAAAATTTATCCTTTTATTTTCCACCATAACTCTTCAGTGAATTTATAATAATAATAATATTAGGCAGAGGCTCACGTTCGAAAAATAGGCTCCAGTCTCCCTTGGTTACTGGTTTATGAAAGCAGCACCGGCCCAAGCATGGCTACTTCAATGCCCTCAACAGATGTGAGGAACTAACCTAGCCTTGGTGTTTCTGTGGCAATGCATCCACAGACCACAAAGGCTGGAAAAACACACCAACGAATGAAATGGACATCAGAAGTGAACGAGTTTATCATCCGTACTTACTACACAATCACAAATCTCGAAACAAACATGACAGCATACAGACAACAACTATACCATACATTCACACAACAATATCCTCACCTCACTGTCACTAAACAAAGGGTTGTTGATCAAAAAAAGAACAATTATACACAACAACCTTATCCCACAAACAACACTTGAACATATCAAACAACAGGTTGCTGATCAAATACATCAACAGATAGAAACATTTAACATTACTAATGAAGATCACGTAACTTGTCAGGATAATCCAGCAACAAGCATTGATAATAGTACACATACAACAACTACCATTAATGATACTATAGACACTTCCTCATCCATCACTGATAACATAGATATAGATTTAGTTAATACACTCTCACTTATATTTCAGGAAACAGTCAGTAAATATACAGGCACAGATCCCACACAAACACCATGAATACTGAAAATCAACACGTCAAAGGTAGTAGGAAAAACACTAAATTATGTAAACACTCACTTACTACCAAACTACATTCATTCAATTTCTACACTCTCAGACATTCATACATTAGTTTATGCTGGGGCAGTCACAGTAGTAACACACCATGGACTAAAAATACAATTGCAGACAGACAAACACAAAACACAATTCTATCACAAGCCTGCCTGGCAGAGAAGAATAGAAACACAAATAAATGACATTAGACATCAATTAGGCAGGCTGACACAATACACTAAAAACAACATAACACCCAAATTAAAGAAACAACTCAAAAACATTTTCAAAAAAATCAAAACACAACACAAAACATGAACATCACAACACACACATTACAGAATACATCGATACACTAAAACAAAAACTCGCAGCCAAAGCACGTAGACTCAAACGATACAAAACATGTACACTACGAAAACAACAAAATAAATTATTCACAAACAATGAAAAACTTTTCTACAGACAAATCAGTACCAAAACAAACACTGATACACAGCACAGTGGCACACCAACAGAAGAAGAACTCACAACTTATTGGTCTTCTCTTTGGTCCAATGCTGTTACACACAATGCTGATGCAGGCTGGATCGAGGAGGAGAACAGAAACTTGCATAACATACCAACTATGCCCTGTGCTGAAATAAACATACACGACATTCGCTACGCTGTTAACAGAACACACAACTGGAAGACACCTGGTGTAGACAACATTCACAATTTCTGGTACAAAAAGTTTACATCACTGCACCAGGAACTAGCTAAACATCTAACACACATCATCATCAATCCACAAGACATGCCAAAATTTCTTACTCAGGGCATCACCTACATGAAACCTAAAAACAACAAAACCACAGACCCCACACAATACAGACCAATTACATGTCTTCCAACACTCTACAAATTATTGACATCCTGCATTGCAAACAAAATATACAAACATGTTGAAGAACAAGACATTCTTACAGAACAACAAAAAGGTTGCTGTAGAAATCACAGGGGATGCAAAGAACAGTTACTAATAGATTCAGTCATTCTATGGCAAGCACACAAACAACACAGAAACATACACATGGCATATATAGACTACAGAAAAGCATTCGACAGTGTTCCCACAGTTGGCTGCTACATATTCTACATATGTACAAAATACATCCATCACTCATTGCATTCTTCCAAAACACTATGCAGCACTGAAGAACAACACTGCATCTCAGGGTTAGTAACACTTCCATACAAACGAAATATTCATTAGGCAAGGAATTTTTCAAGGAGATTCTTTGAGTCCTCTATGGTTCTGCCTAGCCCTGAACCCATTATCCAACAACATGTTAAACAACACGCAATATGACTACAATATCAGACATGAAAAAAAACAACACAGTTTACGCTGTCACATCTCATGTAAATGGACGACATAAAACTTTATGCATCCACACAGAAACAACTTCAGCAGCTCCTACAAATCACACACTCATACACCAAGGACATACAAATGGAGTTTGGCTTAGACAAATGCAAAACACTTCACATAGAAAAAGGAATCCTGATGAAAGAAGATTTTGCAATTGGAAATGGAGACGTTATTGAATCCATGGAAGAGGGCAAGTTCTACAAGTATTTAGGATTCCAACAGGCCAAACTAACAGAACATACACAAATAAAGCAAAGATTAATTAAAGAATACCAAAGTAGGTTAAATGCCATTCTCAAAACACAGCTAAATGCAAAACACACAGTTAAAGCAATAAACACATATGTCATCCCAGTACTCACATACTCTTTTGGAGTTATACATTGGACTCACACAGATCTCGAGCAACTCCAAAGGAAAACAAGAACAACACTTACTAAGCATAAACAACATCAGTCTAAATCCGCCACAGAAAGATTAACTCTTCCACGTAAAGATGGCGGAAGTAGCCTGATTGACATAGTTAACCTTCACTACAAACAAATACAGTAACTGCGATAGTTTTTCTACAGAAACAAGAAACATCACAATTACATAAAGCAGTAACTCTAGCAGACTCAAATAACACACCATTAAACTTACACTCACATCATACAGACATGACACAACATATAAAAAGCATAGACACCATCAAGCAATCGTGGGCTCGAAAGGCACTCCATGGCAGGCATCCTTATGACCTGCCCAGGATTTTGTTGACAAAACTGCGTCAAACAGCTGGTTAGATGGGGATGCCTCTTTGGGGAGACGGAAGGATTCATGATTGCCATACAGGATCAGGTCATAAATACTAAAAACTACAGAAAACACATACTCAAAGATACAACACTCACAAATGACACATGCAGAAAATGTCACATCATGCCAGAAACTATACAACACATCACTTCTGGGTGCAAGCTCTTGGCACAGACAGATTATTTACACAGACATAATCAAGTAGCAAATATAATACACCAAGAGCTTGCAAAGAAACACAAATTATTAGACATTCACGAACCATACTACAAGTATATTCCACAAACAGTATTGGAAAACAACACACACAAAATGTACTACGACAGAGCCATAATCACAGATAAAACAATTTACCACAACAGACCAGACATCACACTCATTGACAAACACAATAAAATCACATACATTATAGACATAACCATTCCAAACACTCACAATGTACAAAACACATGCACTGAAAAAATTAGCAAGTACACAGAACTCGCCCAGAATATAAAGCATTTGTGGAGAATAGAAAGAGGGCTTATTGTACCTGTCGTTCTCTCCTGTACAGGTGTGATACCATACACACTACACAAAAGCCTGGGAACATTACAATTGAATAGATATACATACATCACACTACAGAAGGCCACTATATTGAATACATGCCATATTATTAGGAAATTCCTGAATACAGACACTAACACACTTATTTAATTTTAGTTTTTGATTGCTATGCCTTGACTCCGGTCCAGTTTAGTACATAGCCACTGGTATCAACTGAGTATAACCTACCAATAACTGTATAATAATAATAATAGTACTAGAGTAGAGTGCATTAAATTAATTAAGAGTACCATAGAGTAAGGCATATAAAATATTACCAGTATCATTTATGTATAATATATGTAAGTTTGTTAATGAATATAGAGTATATTATGGTTAAGGTTTTGGATTGGATGAGGAGAAATAATAAGTTTTTCACATTTTTAAACTTCTGCTTCATTCTATAAGACTCGACAAGAGTGGCCAGCTTGGTTTGAGTTTTCCTTATGTTCCTTTAACTATGCTTTTAATGTAGGCATTGTAACACAGATATTAATTTTCTATACTCTAGTACTACTATTATTATTTTGTTAAATTTACATTAAATGATTCGAAAAGTTTATTTTTAAAATTATCTATTTATATTGTTGCCAGTGCAGTTATTTTAAACTTCAAAATCAAAACAATCTTTTTGTTCAATTTAAAGTGATGAAACCTATGGTAGACAAAAATGCTCTTTGTACTATTTTATGATTAATTCTGAATAAAATATTGCTCTTGTCATTAAAAATTCATGCTTTTTAAATTTTTGTAGATAATATATTTATTTAATTTAGTATATTTTGCTATAAGTAAGGGAAAAGATTTAATTTATATAATATTTATAAAAATTAAAATTAGTTTCTTTGGAATAATTGTTATTGTTTTAATCATAAAACCTATAATACTACTTACTGATGACTTAATTGCTTTTATTGGGCATGGAAGACCATGAGATGGAATATTCTTACAGTTATTTTGTCTCATTAGATGTGCTATACTTTTTAACTTCTTCACACAAAGGTCATATTTTATCTAATAGTCAAATATTCAGATAAACAAAATTATGAGTAAATTTCAGTAAAATTTAATTAAAATTTCAAAATTTTTGTTTATACTTTATTTCAATAAATATGAAAATCTTAAATAATTATCAATAACAACCACACTTAGATAGTGTATATATTTCTGTATTCTTAAGAAAGTAAAGTTTTACGACAAATAAAAAATGTATACTTATAATAATTATCTTATTGAATATATCTTATATTTATCTTGTAATTATTATTATTATAAGTGTATTAAGTCCCTTACTTCCTTATTACTGGGTTAGGATAGATTTATATTAATTATATTGAATTTTCAATTTTACAAATTTTTCTCTACAACTGAAATATTTTAAATTAGATTTTTATCAATTCAATGTTTTAATGTATTGTACAATATTGTCCTTTGAAAAAGTAAAATATATTTTGATTTTCTTTAAAAATTGTCTTAATTAAATTGAATTGAATTGCCAAACAAAGGGATAAAAATCTGTTTTTCTAATGCACTCAATAGTTTCTTCTCTTATTTTCCTTGTACATTTTCTCCACATATTCACAGAGAATCATAAAAAATTATAGGTCAAATATACAAATATGCCAGCAACAGGGACTTAAGTTGTTCATATGGCAAAAAATTCAAATAAAGATGACTTGTAGCAGCAAATAGCAAGTTCAGTTAAGGTTCTTTACTGAGAGTAGTACAGGACCATAAAATGCTAGAAGGTAAACCTGTTCTGAACTGTGTGATAAATTCAGCAGTTTGAAAAAAGTGTTTAAATGTACTCTTGTGTCTGCTGTCCACTGGACATAGTTAACAGTTCATGGTATACCTAAATACAAATTAATTGAAATCAATTGTTTGAAAAGGCACCAGGCAGACAGATTTTCAGCTCATGTGAATGTCATATAGTTTGTTGTCATATTTGGACAAATTGGTATATAACAACTGAAAATCTAATATAATTGGTGAGAATACATTCCAAAAGTCACTGAGTATCAATGCAGATATATTCTCTAATCAAAGTATAGTTTATATAAGATAAAGCATACCCTACCTCAATGCATCTTCAAGAAAAATGTGTTTAATATGGACTTACATACATTTGGGTTGAACCATACATCACTAGAAGCAAGTAAAAAATATGGTCCAGTAAATCCACTTTTATCATTAAGTATGGTGACATTGTTCTTCTGATTAATGACTTTCTTGGCAAAAAATGGCAACTTCTTCACATAAGATGTAAAAGCCACATTCTTTTATGGTTTAGGCCAGTATAAGCACTGATGGCATGTACCCTGCACTTTTACATCATCATCATCAAAACCCAAGAGTAACATCTGCACTCTTCATGACAAAAATTATTCAATCAACAGCTTAGCATATTTCAGCAGAATAAAACAACACAACATTTGACCAAAATTACAAAAGCTTGACTGGTTGGTAGATACATTCATGTGCTCTTTTAGCCTGAAAATAGTTTGGACCAATGACAACCAAGGATGCATTAGCAGTTATTCATGTATTTGACTTAGGAATGGGCTAAAATTCTAGCTGCATAATTGTGCAACTTGGATCCTCTTCACACCACAACAACCTTAGTGTGATGAAATGAAGAGAGAATACTATATACTGTCAAGTATTAACAGTATTATCCCATAAATAATCTTTTATGACCTTTGTTGGAAAGTGGTTTTTTTTGTTCATGACTCAGTATGTTTTTTGTTTTGTATATAGTTTTCCACTGCTTCTACCAGTCATAATATGTAATAAAAAAGCTTCAACTTCAAGGTCCATCTGACAAACTGAATTCTATTACTATGCCACCACAGTAATAGATGATTTTTCTTTCTTTTTTTTTTTTCATTAAAGGAAACCAATCTTGACCTTTTCTATATCTCCATCACTGGTGGCAATATTGAAATTCATAATTTGTCTGTTCAGACAGTTAAAGTTTGAACAAGTTTAAAATGAATTTGACTTTTAGAACAAGTAAAATTTAAAAGAATTTTTGAATGGATAGTTTTTGTATTTTTAGTCATTGATGATGAGCCAGGAGGCTCAAAAGTACTAAGAAGTGGATGTAACTGTGTTGAATTTTGTGATTTCTTCAGAACAGCTTGCAATAAGTTGTAGTTTTAAGGATAATAAAATGATTTAAAGTAGAAAATTACTCAAAATTATTACATTTATATCTCCTTTTTGTAAAATTAGGCACCATTTAAAATATGAATATAATAATTTATTTGTTAAACCTAAATTTTATTAAAATTAAACATTCTATCACTTCATAAAATAAAAAAACCCTATCTTTAAACTTTATTTTGAATTACTGATATACTGTAATTCATATCAAATACCTTCAGTTGTTTTTCATATGGTACCTTCCATAAAGGAGTAACAGTTTCAGCAAGTCTAAAAAATAAAAACAACAAATTTTATTTAAAAATTAATTCATTTAAATGTTTACAATAAATGTCTAAAAACAAAATATTTTAATAAATTTGGTACCATGCATATTTGACTACAATATGTATAATCTATTAATATATAATATAACTTATGGGCAGACTTTGTCTTTAATTTTAATAATAATCTCCATTGGATGAAAAAATTTACAAAATAATATAACTATTGTTAATATTTATCAAATAATTTTAAAAAATTAAATATTGTGAACTGAGCCAATCTCAAAACAATATTCTAAAAGAAAATCTTGTTTATTGATGAAATATTTATGATTACAGTGATAACTTTGTTGAGAAAACGACACTTAAAGAGCTTTTATCCTTCTCATCTTTCTTGAAAAGGCTGCAATAAAATGATGAGAAAATTTGAAGATATATTAAATTATTTATATCATGGCTCAGAATGTCACTATTTATGGAAACTGACTAACAAAATCAAAATTCATATGTTTTTTGAAAATGAAGTGAACATTTTATAGTCATATTGGTTTCAAACACATACAGCAACTCCATATTTAACATTGTAGTTTCCGAGAACCAATTGACAATGTTAAACAAAATAACATTTAACAAAACCAAGTTTATCATGGGTCAATTGATATAAACAAGATATAATTTGATTAACATTACTCTAATTTGGATCATGTTTGTAACATGCAGCATTTATTTTCCATCTCATACAATCAATTTTACAGTTTATAAAAAAAAGTCAACAACAGTAATTGGGCCGCTATACATTCCCATTGTCATCTGTCTGCCCTTTGTTAATCTCAAAAATGGAGTTAGATAAATAAAAGTAAGACCAGATATGAAAAGCTTAGTAGTTGGAGACCCAATTAACTGTTTTCTGGTCTGGGGCAGAATTCATAATTTCAATTCAAAATTTTTATTTAGATTAAAATATGATTAAAAATTGCAGCTTGGCATTGTAATGATGTCACAATAAGCAATTTTTATTGTAAATGATTAATGTAGTTGTATCTTTCCTCAATGATATTATAACAAAATGATGTTAAGTGAGAGTTTACTGTATAATATAATAATTAATTTAAACTAATCCATAGTAATAGCTCAACTTTCTTTTATAATTTATCAAAATGAAGATCAATAATATCAAAAACTTATTATCTAAAAAATCGATCTTATCATTTGTAATTTTGCTCAAGATTTCACATGGATAAAAATCATGCTGTTACATATGCAAATAAATAAAATCTACTAAATAATTTCATCCCTTCTCAAATGCTAATACTATAAATTTCAATACTTGAGAATGAATAAAATCATGTAAAGATCAAAGTATAGAAAGTGATGAGTAAATAAAAATACTTTTAAAAAGAAGTTGACAAGCAAAAACAAAATCAGAATATCAACCTTTAACTATTAATGTAATGAAACTCTTAAACTGATGATCATTTTGTAAATATGAATGAATCTATACATTCATTTTATATAAAATAATATGTACACAATCTTAAATTAAAAAATTTTATAAACAGGTTATTATAAAAACACACATTAAAAACTAAAAATTTTGTAATTTCAATTTTTTATATTTTATCATTCTAACAAATTTTCTGCATGTTAGAATTAACTATAATGCAACAAATAATAATTTTTTTTAAATAAATAGTATCTACTTCTTGAATTCATATAACAGTTCATTGAGGCAGAGCATTAGCAAAACCTTTTTCTATCTGACTTAAGGAATTGTTTGTTCTCAAAATTTGATTGATTGATTGATTTTTATTTAACTTTGCCATTTTCCATTAATCCAAAAATGTAGTAAAATATAGGAGTCCATAACTTTTGACTTCTCGTGTCATGCACATTTTCTTCTGATCACACACACATTTTCTCTCTCTCACTTACACACACATACCCTTACATACATATTCAATCATGTCAGCACTTGGTTAAGATGGAGTGAAAGATAATTTTATGTCATAATACCAGGGCTGTGGAGTCGGAGTCATGGAATTTTGGTGTTTTAGCTGGAGTCGCAGTCGGAATTGTCAAAAAATCTGCCGACTCTGACTCCTTTTTTACTTCCCAACTTGTTATGTATATAAAACAGAAAAGTATTGGAATCGTGTCAAATTTGATCCTCCAAGTTTTTTTTTGCAAATCTACACATTTCGAGACCTCTCGATCCCCTCAAAAAAGTCAGTAAAAGGGGAAAAATTTGCGCATGTGTGTGTTGGCATCTAATTTGTTTAATTTCTTTATTTTCTGTTCTGAGATATTAAACAATATCTCAAAAATGGGTAAAGTTTAAGAAATGAAATGTGGCACTATAGCTTGCATATAAAGGGGCATTAATACTATAAAAAAAAATAATAAAACTCATCTCTACCCTCAAAGTAAGCTTTTTTGTCATTTTATGATAGTACAGTAAAACCTGTTAAGATGTTCTCGCCTAACATGTTAGAATGTATACGGGGACATATATTTAGTTCAACCACTTTGACGCTTAATAACTAACTCCTGTGTTAAACCATCTGACTCCAATTCTCACCATTCTGACCACAAAAATTATTAGGCTCCAAACAGGGTGAACAAAATCATGCCCACATACACAGTCTAACATCCACACATATAGAAAAAACCTCGAATCTTTTGCATATGTCGAAATTTTAAGGTGTCCTGAGTCCAAAAATGTAAAAATTTGGGAGGGATCATTTTTTGTCCAAGTGCTACACTTTCCCTCTGTTATATATAACAGCCAGAAAAGTAAAAATTATCGAATACATATTTATATATTACTTAGAGAAGTCTTTTAGCTTTGAAATAAAAAGTTTCTACGCTCTATCTTTATTAGAACTCTATTTTATTGAATCTTTTATTCTGAGGTCACGTGACGCCATCAGAATTTCCTCATCTCTTTCGGTAACATGTCTGGCCCTGGTCAGAGCTGGAGTTGGAGTCGGAAGATTTTTACATGACTCCACAGCCCTGCATAATACTAATTAAAAAATTTTTAATTCTTCATGTCACAATTCTATCACAATATGATAAAGTTCTGTCATGTCCCTAGAAATATTAAGTATGATTTTCTCAAAAATCCAAATACAAAACTTAAGTTATTTCATCAAACCAGTTTTCAAAAGAACAAAATTCTTACATAAAGATATTAAATAATATAAGGAGTTCTCAATATTTGGACATATTCCAATGTAACTTTGATATCTAATGCACAAATATGCAATAAGAAAGATACATTAACATAATAATTTACCCACCTTCTATATTGATTTTCTACAGTAACTTGAATTTCATAGTCTTTTCTTATTTTCTCTTTTGGCAGTAAAGTCTCTGAAGTCTCTATTCTCTTTTCAATGACAGATTTTTTCTTTAATTCCTTTACATTTGATATTAAAGATTCTTTTTGTTTACTTTTCAATTTTCTTACTGTAACAACACTAGAAAAGACATTTTGGTCTCAATTATTGAATAAAACAATTTTTAAATAAATTTCAATAATTTAAATTATTATATATAAAATGATATAAAAATTGTATAATTAGCATCAACTACTAGATATTTCTTTTAAACATGTATACTAAACACACTCTTTTCTACTCTGAATGTTAATAAAGACATAACTTTCAATTGTAATACATAAATTTATACTTTTTACCTATTATTAGCGAGGTTGAGGCCAAAGTTTTAAACGCGAAAACGTGTACGTCAGACATTCAGCGCCGCTTTCCTATAGGCCTAGAAGTTTGACAATGGTGTTTGGAATGTCGAGCATGATTCCACTGACTATCCAAACACCATTGTCAAACTTCTAGGCTTACAGGAAAACGGCACTGAATGTCTGATGTACACGTTTTCACGTTTAAAACTTCGGCCTCAACCTCACTAATATTGTTGATCACTAAAGCTATTTGTATAATTTTAAGTTTAGAATAAAGTTACTATAATAATCAAACAACATATGAAGACTGCATTACAAAATCAAAAATTATATTTTAACTGTATCATATGACTCTATTTTTTGCTATTAAACGTATCACTTCAGACTTGTAAAACTTTGTGAAGCATTATTTCACTGAAAATAATGACATATGATATAGTTAAAATACATTTTTTGATTTTGTAGTATTATTTTGCTATTGTCAAGTAATTCAAGGATATATGTTATTATTTCATATATATCTTGCATAAAATAAATAAGAGTAATAATTAAAACAGTGTAGGAGAAGAAAAATAAAATATTTTAATAAGTGAAATAAAAACCTAGTGCAATATTTAATATTTGCAATGGTTAACATAATATTTTTCAAATTGAAGAAACTGAATTCAGATTTAATGTTTTAACTGTGTTTCATATTTAGTAACTATACATTTCTGAAAAATATTTTTTTATTTGACAAGTGTTAATTATTAATCATCAAATCAAATTTTATTTACAATCAATCACATTTGCATAACCTGTTTGCCACAATGTGACATCTAAAGTTGCTTGTCACCATCAACGGATGCATCTGTTGCAAATGGTTTGGGTGTCCACCCAAACCATTTGCAACAGATGCATCCGTTGACGGTGACACAAAGTCAGGCTGCATGCATGGCAACCGGCAACCAGGATGCCATTAACTGCTCAATACACAGTTGCATATCTGGCTTGGTGTTGTCATCATGGTAACTGGACCACTGAATTGCATCAGGTATTGTTTACAAATGAACCCCACTTCTGTCTGTGGAGGAATGATGGCCATGGACAGGTGTGGCAGTATCTCAGGGAATGCTACATGTCCTTTTCTCCAAGTACATTATGGTTAGGTTAGGAATCATGTTCAATCAGCAGACAGCCCTGGTACTCTGACAGCATCAGACCAGTACATCACACAAATTGTGAGGCCTGTGGTTTGGCCACTGTTGCAAGTTGTATCCGACAATGTTCCAGCAACATAATGCCGGACTGCACATTGCATGATGAACTCTCACCAGTCTGAACAGAATTCACATCCTTTCCTGTCCAGCAGCCTCGCCGGATCTCTCTCTCATCAAACACCTATTGCATTTTGTAGGAACTTCGTTCTACATGATGAAACAGACATCTGTTTGATGCATATCGTTCTTTGATCGTTTCATTATTTGCATAGCTCTGTCACCTCTACCAGTACTGATATGTGCATGTGGCTATGCGCAATCCTTCGTGGTTATCTAATTTCACTTTTGAGGAATGTATTTGAATCTTGTGCTATTTACCTATCTGTTCGAGTTAGTTGTTTGGGACGATATCCGATAACTATTATTGTACAATATTCCAATTTTGATATAGTTTTATCGAAATGATAATGATAATTACCTACTTCTGGAACTCCGTAACCATCTTATATCATTTTTCATAAACGAAGGAACTAACTTTTGAAACGAATTATTAAAACATGTGACATTCCTCAGCGCCGCCATTTTATTAAAATCCCTCTGTAGTCAAAAATATAAATGAATTTCAAAAATATCCATTTTCTTAATATTACATAATTAAATTACAGTTTTAATATTTGTAAAGTAATATTTATTAATAATTTATATAAGAATAAAATAAATTTTTATTAAATTCATAAACAATAAATCATAACGCGTATCTTATCGATTTATCATTTTAAGTATCTTAAAGGCAACTATTTGACTTTTATCAACTTTCACAATATTTTTAATGCTCTAGATTCCATGTAGTTTATGTGTTTAAAATACCGAGCGAATGCTCGATACCGAGTTTGCGATTAGATAATTACATTACTCCCGCATTCTCTACAGATCACGAGGTGATGCATGCGGTGGTTGGGAGCAAGTGAACATTAGTGAGTATTTCTTTATACTATTAATCACTAAATTAAAATTTTAAAAAAATATTTAACAATTTATTACGCACTAAATGATGTTTTTAGTAATTACAATTATATTATAAACGTTTCCGGTTTACATGCGGGAAGCGGATATTATCAAATTGATTCGCGTGCCTGATTATAATTAACAAAACGGCTTATTTCTTTATATATAAAAAAAATTTATCAAAGTAAAATTTTAAATTCGTGCACATAGAAATGACGCAATCTTTCTTAAAACGGAAATTTGACTTATTGCCAATTTATTTTTGGTATGTTTTTATTCTTCATTCATTCAACTTCTGATCTATTTTTCGAAAAAATTAATTATTTCCCTTAAATTATATTGCTTACACGAATTTAAATAAATATATATATTAAATTTTTTACTTGTTTTCGCCCTGTGGATACTAAGAGACCCTTCAATATCCATCGTGAGTTAGGCGATAAGTGCAGCGGGTCCTGACTTATCAGGAACAGACAACCTTCCGAAAAATACCCGAGTGAGTTTAAATAATAATTTTCAATAAGAAAGTATTGTTTGCTAAATAATAATTGCAATTTTAAATCGCGAAATGTATTTGAGTTTGCACGCGACCTGGACCATTTATTCTAATCCGTATCGTTGGTGGTCAAATAATCAACTAAGAAACAGCTGCTATATTTTTTTGTAATTTTTAGTCCTTCACCCGCTGACATAAATCTATTTAAATTAACCATATCCTTCGATTAATTTCGAAGTTTGTTCAACTTGTAAACAATTGTAAACAAAATGGAAGCTTAAGTGTAAATAAGATTAAGTGCACTTTTTAAAGTTTATAGATAGCCTTGTATATCTAAAAATTCTATAAATAGATTTTGATATTAATTTATAAATGCTATTTTTTTGGCCATTTTTTTGTGTGTTTTTTTTGCGGAGAATCGTATCTTCTTCCGATCTTCGGCGTGAATTCCTCGCTGGACTTTTCTGACGTCATCAATGTAATTTATTGATTAATTTATCAGCTAGTGATTGATTTCTTTGCGATATTTAGTAATGTATATATTAGGAACGATATTAATTACAATAAAATAAATAATCTTATTATCTTATCCCATTTGATGTTTAAATTAAAATTAGCATTTAATAATTTTAGGCTTGTTTTTCCTTGTTTTTATTTTTAACCACCAGAGGTCTTGCAGAAGTAAAGGTCTCGTTTACATAAAAATCATCGATTTTATTTATATATATATTTTTTAAGAGCGCCAATTTGTGAAAAATTAATATATTAATTTTTTACAATAATAATCACGAAATATATCATTATTAATTCTTTTATATGCATGAATTTTTCTGTGGAATTTGAATTCGGCGCTCATTGCGCCATTTCAAAACTGGCGTTCAAGCTCGTTTTTTCCGGTTTGCTTTCCCGATCATTACATATTTCTCTCACGCATTGTTTACATTAAAAAAAAAATGAAAATTCCATCTGCAATTTGTAAAACGATAACACTCAACCGAAGAATTCACGAATCGCATACTTAATTATTTTCAAAATATTATTTTTTTTTCATTGTAAGTGTATTGTATCTAACGTAAAAGGATTTAAATTTCGAAACGTTTAATTTGGTTTGGTTTATTCGGTTATGGCAACGCGACACATGGGCGATCTGTCGAGAAGAGATTCCTCCCTTGAAGACTTTTATGGAAAACTGGCCTTTATTTAGATGTTTCAAACGAAGAAAATCAGAAAAACTCCACGTGGCCAGCTCGTTGGCTGATGCGAACCTACCACCAATTACCTGTATTACTAAACAAATGAATCATTATTTAATTTGTAGAACGTCAAACGTACAAATCGGATACTCATGTAACTAATAGAGAAGTGCGAGACAAGTGTTGATTTCCTCAAATATCAATGTACGAAAAAAAAAAAAATATGTAATACGTAAATCAATTTAACGTACAACGGTTCGTGTTATTTGTACAAGGGCTCCGAAAGGAGGGCTCAAAATGATCTTTGCATCGGTAGCTCTGCATTCTCTCGTGGGATCCTGTATGTCTATATTTATTTTTACTTTTCAACAGGGTTGATTTCGCCAATTTATTGTAGAATTTCTTGCTATTTCTTGCCTAATTTTAAACTGTTATAAATTAAGTAAAAAGTGATATTTTTATAACTTTGATAATTGTCTGTCTGTAATGCATTATTCAAAAGATACGCGAACTGCGAAGGACGTCTTCAATTAAAACACAAGTTTTTTTTTTTAATATAACTATTTTTTATGTATTTTTCTTTATATTTTATTGTTTTTACTGATATTCCTACCAATACTGAAGTATTTTTTGTTAATGAATTGGGGAATAGGCGACTCTAAAGCGAAATCACTCCTGCATTACTCCAAACTAATATAATCTATTCGTGAAAATTATAATTTTGGAAGAATGTTTTGAATTATTTTCAAATATTAATGGTTTTTAAGCGGCATGGACGATGTATTAAGAAAGTACTTCCTGGTAGGACTTCTACTAGAAACTTGCCCTTATTTTGGTGTTAGACATATGATAGAAACCCGGAAAACTATACTGAAGTAAAATTAATGGCTCCAAAGATATTTACATTTTTTGGACTTGGGGGATTTTAAACGTCGAGAACTGCAAAAAAAGAAAAAAAAATTCTTGGGTTTTTCTGTATGTATGGATGTTTATGTGTGAGGGGCACGATTTTGTTCACTCATTTTGAAACTTAATAACTGTTGTACGTTTTGTCGAAAATTTTTGAAAGTTTTCAGGGATGTTTGTTTATTAGAGGGATTGATGATGTTAAATTTTGATAGATAAAAATCGAAGGAATGGGAAGATAAACGGGGAGAGGGTCATTTGTCGTATCTCGAGTGGGATCTAACTTAATAAAGATGTTATTGATTATTAATTAACATTTTTTAAAAATAGAACTCGTCTCTGCCGTCAAAATTAAACGTTTTGCCATTGTATAATAATTAATAATATAGAAAGTTTTTTTTTAAAATAATATAATGTCTTAACAGATGGCGCCATATACAATTTTAAATTTTTTTTTGCCGGGAAAGTTAGACAACTCGTTACTGGAAATTTTTTATTACGTTACGGAAATTCGTAAATGTTTTTAAATAAAAAAATACACAAATAAAGAAGAAAAGAACGAAGAATAGTTCATAGGAAAAGACGGTATTAAACTTGTAGGAGTTTTTATGGCTAAACTTACTCTATAATGAGCATACATTATAAAGGCTTAAATATTTAAAATATGCCAATTTATTGAAACGTTCACTCAATGCTTTAAGTAAACACGTCTGCAAACAGTTTTGTGTGTTTTAAGAGGAACAGAGTTAAAATGAATTACGTTAAAAGTGGAAAAATTAATTAATAAGTGAGCGCTTCGATTTTATGTTCAGACCAATGATTATACAAAATAAATTTCGATAATTTTATATCCAATATAAGTTTCTTCAAGAATACTTCTGGGAGTTGCCTGACCCAGATATGTGGAGTTCCGTCCCTCGTCACTCTGGTTTTCTTCACGCATATAACACCTAAATAGGGGCCAGTTTTCCATAAAAGTCCTCCAGGGAGGTACCCCCTCGGCAGATCACCTACCAAACCAATAAACCATGATGGCACACGGTGGGTCTCATTATGGACTCAGTCGAAATCACGATGGGTACGGGAAAAGTCCCTCTTAGAACTCACACGGCTGAAAGCGTAAAAAATAATTGGTAATTGTTGCATCAGCTAATTGCTATAAGATTTGTATTCCGTAAAAAAGAACTTTTCTTTAATATACAATAATATAATATAAAATTGTTCCTTGTTTTCTCATTAAATTAAGAATAAATCCATAAAATTGCGATTGATAGAAAAATAAATTTCACACGAAGCTGGAATCCATTCGTACAAAAATTTAATAGATTCGACTAAGATTTTTTACTAAATTTTATGTACTGATAAGTATGCAAATTAAGGAGATTAGGCATCAGCTTGCAGGCCAGGAGGACTCGGGTTCGAATCCGGTCAGCCAGGAATAAATTACAGATTATTGAAAGAATTCTAACCCAAATTTTTCTGTTTTCCGGCCAACTAGGTCTATTATCTACAGTCCAAGTGTAAAAACGTGCAACAGGAACCTAAGTTTATGTAATAAAAGCTTCAGACTAAGCATGGGGGTCTTAGCCACTTCATATCTTCCCGTAACTATGGCTCCGAATTCGACCAAGCAACACCACATAAATTTTTCATGGGTGGTCTGTCTCGGATATGTCGGACCCTGTCCCTCACCACCCACCACTTCGCTGTAGACCTGGCCGAAACAAAAATGGGTATAGAAAAAAGGCTCACTGAGTACCCTCGAAAAATATGCGATAGACGTAAGGCATGTAAAATAAGTTTATCTAAAGTATACCTTTTTGTACACTTTATATCAACGAAAAACTAGGGTATATAAGATAAATTGAAGGCTCAGATTTATCCTTGTACCTTGTCCTTTTATTATGATATTGAATGTATAAAATTAGCTATAAAAATGTTATGGCGCGATTTTTCGGTGAAAGCTTAACCTTGTTTTAAATCACGATTTAAATTCAGATTAAATCACTTTGTATAGATTCAAACCTGTAGAACGGATTTTTTTCGTTTGGCTGAAGATTTAAAAATAAATTTCGACTTTGAGCACGATACATCATACAATAACACAGAGATCTTTGATTTACCAAATTATCTAGTTTCTCGAATTTTATTTATTTATTTATTTATATAGCGATAAGGGTTTGATGAGATCTTTATATCTTCCTGTTTCTGTAGGAGAGATTTGACGTTGTGACTAGAGAGCAAATTTCGCTAGATAATGCGGATATTAATTAATAATGTTTTGCTCCGCCATTTTTTTAATAGTCATTAAATTAATTAACAAATTCGTCTGTGATGCGCATTCATTTAGAGCAGTGTTCCTCAATTTCTAACGAATCTTCGCCCCTTTCAATAAAACCATTATCGCCCCTTCACTTCAAAATTCCGATGCCGAGGGCCAAGGCTAACGCCAAATTCGTACTGCATTGAATAGACTAGTGACTAGTATAATTTATTTGTTTAATTATTGTACGATATAACGAATAAAATATCCAATTATTCTTAATATAATGTTTTACTATATCGCCCAGAAAATTGTTTTTCGCCCCCCAAAATATAAATTGTTACTAATCGCCCCCTCAACATGGAAGAACGCCCACATGGGGCGATATCGCCCCCGTTGAGAAACACTGATTTAGAATCTCTTTTAAATAGATACAAATTAGTTGTGTCGTTTCTATCTGTACTTCCTTGTCTTTTTTCTCTTTTGTTTTATTCCTTATACTTATCTTTTCGTTATTGGTTGGCCTGTGTCAGTTCGTACGCTTTGATAAAGTTGTTGAAATAGAGCTTTGTATCGTCATTAGGAGGGACAACGTGATTGGATGGAATGATACAGAGAGGGGTATTTAAGACGTAAG